CCGAGCTCACCAGCGAGCCGCACACTAAACACTCCAGTACATCCTATCTTTATATCGCGAGCGAAGCAAACCGCGGGGGCGCCCAGCCAAGCGAAGCGCGGCTGGTCACTTTTTGTTGTTGCTGTATTGGTACTCTCCTATATAATTAACTCACTTAAAAATGGTTAATGTACCTAAATTTAGGACATTTTGTAGGACATTTTCAGTGTTTGCAGGACATTTTGTAGGACGTAGTTGTAGGACATTTTTTCGGATGCAGGACCATTTTTCTGGCTGCATTAATGGCATTCAGCGGCGTTGAAACGTGTATATACAGCAGTCACAGAAAAGCAGCTGATGGCATACTATATTATGGGAGACGTGGATGACGCACAGTACAATGCCATTGGAAATACTGTGGGGGAAAGCCAACCGTTTGTGTACCTCATGTGCTTTTTCCACGTTATGAAAAATGTGATCGACCGATCGAAATCAGTGGAGGACATGTTGGCGAATCGCGTACGAAAGGATATTTACGATCTTCATTTCGCTGCGAACCTTCAGGATTTCGTGACTAAGGCCTACAACATTCTGGCTGTTTGGAGATCCGATGAAGTCACGAGAAGTTTCGCAGAATACTTTTCCAAAGTATGGCTTTCCGGGAAATTTATTCGGTTGCAATGATTCCAGCGTCCGCGTTCGTACGCTACAACGAACAACCCAGCCGAGCAATTTAATTTAATTTGCTGAAGCGTGACTATACGTTACGGTCAAAACTGAAGATGGGTTCTCTACTGACGCAATTACAATCTTGCTGACAGAATGAAAGTGAACGAAGTTTCTCTTTCAGCCTGACAGCAGAAGCCACTGATGCAGTACCTACACCGTCGTTCGAAAGAAATATAAACAGAACGACTACTGTTGGATGCGTTCCCTTCCCAATCCGAGTTTATTGCCGTGACAACAATTTACGTTCTTTCGTTTCCAGCGGAACGCATTTACGTGCAAGCTAAAGACCGCACACAAGATACACTGGTTATCACAGCTCAAATGGGGATAAATTACGCTAGAATGGAGTTTGAAGGAATGCCTAGGCATGGTTGGGAGGTGAATGTGGAACGGCGCACGTGTGGATGCCGCTACTACTGGAAGTTTTCTGTATGCGTGCATGTCCTCTTCGCTATGAGGCAACGAAGCTACGTAGACCACGCTGGTAATCAGATGCTTGTCAACAGGAGCTCTAGCAACAAGCGGCGACGGACAAACAAACAAGGCTCAGGTCGTCCAGCTCTCAATGGTTCAGCGCTTTCGATACTTTGATTTCAAAAGCACCCCACACGATCAATATCAACTTCTGCAGCTTCTATGTTGGCTTAAATGGAAGGTAGTATCCATGCCCTTCATGTGTGTTGCCGGCTTTCATCCCAAATCATGTAGTTTTTCTGATAGTATCAAGCAAAAACTTCAACTATGGCTTATGTCATACTTAAACGTTGCAAACACACCGTACACCATCAATTATATCTTGTAGACTAAGAGTGCTAACGCATTTTTATATACAAGTGACATTCATGTTTGCGTGTTGTCGGTTTTGCATCGAAACACTACCAAAAAATGGCTGTACGTTAAGTCTAAAACGTTACATATTCTACTGTAATTTTTGAAAAGTACCCCACACTGTCAATTTTGATGTCTACGAGATATATTGTAGCTCATTTGAAAGAGGGCATGTAGCTGTATCAGGTGTATTACCGCTTTTCATCCCGTATAGATAATTGCTCTCTAGAACTTACACTCACCTTGTGTTGTCAGGAACGCCGTACAATTATGATTAAATGGAAACGAACACCTACAGTTAACAAAACGTTGGCATTATATATTGTAAAATTCAAAGATATCAGTTGCTGTCATAGGAATCATCTCTCCAACACAGTTGCGGCTTCCACAGGAACAGTCGAACCATAATTTATCGCCGTAGAACACTGTGATCGCATCACCAGCTGAAATAGGGTCAATAACGACCATAACAACGCGAACTTTTCTTCGGTTTTGCAATCTACACAAACTCGCAATTGGGCTGACACGAATAATTCGCCAACCGAGTAATTCCTCAAGCGCACTCAGCATTAATGAATGCTGTTTTCCCCCTCCTTGTTTTCACGAAAATCTGAAGAGCGTACTCATTCTGCTGGGAGTCCTTTGGAAAATCGTGAGTAGTTAAAATACCCGTGTACTCCCCAATAAAAGCCCCGACTGGACTACTTTCTGTAGCTTTTAACCCCAGCCCGAGTGCTGTGTTCGGAATTTCAACTCCAGAAAATTCGTACATCGTGTTGGAGCACCTTCCTTTTAAACCACAGCTCCTTGGAGTGCAAAAGTAGGCAGATGCCGAATTTGTGCATTCGCCATAGTAGCAATCGGTACTGCACTGGCATTTGTCAAATGCACCAGTATCTAAGAATTCGATTTCATCAGGATTGAGGCATTTTTTCAGATACGCCACTGAAGTCGGCCATCCAGGGGGATAATTTCGCTAGCTTCAGCATTGCGAACGACACACTCGTTCGTCTGAAGCTCTTTGTGAAGAGAGCTGGTTCTAATTTCCTCCTGACCCGCAGGGTATTGGGTTTTCTCTTCCAGCTCCACAAAGAAAGCGTTTTTAGTCTCCTCAAATTCCACACTGCAATCGCCCTTAGTCTCATCCAGTTCTGCAAAGTTATGTTTTGTAGACTCCTTCCGATGCAACTTAATATAATCTTCCACATTTGATTCCGTAGTAACGACTGTGGAAGTATCAATAGTTTCTAAGCCACGTTCTCGCCGCAGCCGCTGCACTAAATCCGTCAAGCTTTCAAAGCTCTTTAGAAAAGCTGCTTGGATGGTAGGGAGGTGGTAAATGTTTGCAGCATGCTTCGAAGATTTAACAGGAATTCGATTGTGCTTGTACTTTGAGCGCCGAGTTTTCCCCCGAGGAAAGGCATCATTTTTTCAGCATCTTTTTAGACTTCTTGGCCACTTCCGCGTACGTGGCAACATTAGTCAAAATGCTGGCGGCAGCACTCGCTTCTTCCAGCTTTACCGGTATAGATGCGATGCTAGGAGATGATCCACCACTGCACAGATAGATTTGAGCGTCTGAAGTGTTAGCATCGTTGTCTTCATCGCTTTTGGTGTACTCTCAGGTTGCGCAGGTGCGTCAGCTATGGGATGAGTTCTACGAAGCACTGTCCGAGGACTTCAACCGCCGATTCCGCGCCAGGGAAGGTCAGGCGAAGGACAACTTGGTGATGTTTAACACACTCAAGAGTCTGAATGAGTTGCTTCAAGTAAGCGGAAAAGCGGTAGCTGAGTTTGATCTGCCGCAACTTGACCAGTTCCCGGATCTACTTCTTCGGGAAGCACTACAGGCCGATAACAGTCTCATTGAACGCGAGAGCGTGGCTTATGACTACCACATGCTCCACGACATTGTGGATCATGAAGATGAACTCAATGATGGCCAACAAGCTATTTTGGCGAAAGTCATGGCGGTCGTTGATGGATCTTTGGACGGCAACAAGTTGCTATTTGTGGACGGTCCTGGAGGTACAGGAAAATCGACTTTGCTCAAACATATCCTCGCTAAAGTGCGCTTATCTGGGAAAATTGCCATTGCAGTAGCGTCCAGCGGGATTGCGGCGCTTCTGTTAATGGGAGGCCGGACGGCGCATTCTACCTTCCGGATCCCGCTGAAGTTGAACGCGGAGTCGACGTGTTCAATCAATAAGCGTTCCCCACTGAAGGAACTTATCAAGATAGCGAGTCTGATCATCTGAGATGAAGCTCCGATGACCCGTCGCCATGCATTCGAGGCAGTGGACCGTTCGCTACGTGATATCCTGGACAACGATGAACGTTTTGGAGGAAAAGTAATGGTGCTTTCGGGTGATTTCAGACAGATTATTTCGGTGGTAGTGGACACCATCAGCGCGTGTCTTAAGTCGTCGGAGATCTGCTGCAAACGAAACCACGGCAGAAGCACTTATAGCCTTCTCCGACTTCCTCCTTCAAGTTAGTGAAGGGAGACACAAAGTCAATCCGGAGTTTTGGACAGACTCCATGAAGATTCCGAACGAGCCAGATGAGGAACCGGAAGAAGACGAAGCGATTCGGCCTGGCACCACTCCCAGGGGCTTGCGGCGTATCATTGAATAGATGTATGCAGACATCAACAGCCAGAGATCGCCACGGACGAGTACTTTGCCAGCCGCACGATTTTGACGACGACGAACATGATGGTCCATCGCATCAACGAGGCTGTCTCACAGAAGCTGGAAGGAGAGGCCCAAGAGTACCTGTCCAATGATTCTGTGGATAACGACGGTGACGCGGACTTCTTCGAGCCAGAACTCCTGCATTCAGTGAACTTGAACGGAATCCCGCCGTACAAGTTAACGCTGAAGAAGGGTGCTCCGATCATGATGATGCGGAACTTGAACCCCAACCTAGGACTGTGCAACGGAACGCGCCTTCGTGTTGTTGAGCTGAAACCGCATGTGATCCACGCGACTATGATGACAGGTGAGCGCCATGGCCATCATGGGTTCATTCCGCGGATTGTGTTCCTCAGTGACGGGGACACGCCTGAGTTCCCTTTCCGCCTACGCCATAAGCAGTTTCCGGTGCAACCAGCGTTTGCGATGACGATCAACAAGGCCAAAGGACAAACGGTGCAGAATTTGGGGTTGTATATGTCAAGCCCTTGCTTTTCCCACGGACAGCTGTATGTGACACTGTCGAGAGTGACGGCGCGGTCGAGACTCAAGGTGATGATCGAGTATCCAGAGCACGTGGAAGACGACGGAGCGTACACGCAGAATGTAGTCTACCGACAGATATTCGAGATGTAAGCAGGAAGAAATAGGGGAACATTCCATATTTTATAACAAAAATACATGTCCATTGTGCATATGAATTGGTCTTTGATAAAGTACGTGTTTACCCCCCACCGAGCGAAGCGAAGGTGGGGGCTATGGAGTACTGTGGGGTGGAGCTGAAACAGCGACCACAGATTGGGACTCTACATGTAGCAAGGCTCCAACCCCTGCCGAGCGAAGCGAAGGCGGGCTTTGCGTAGTAGTGGGGCGAGCTGGAACAGCGAGCTCCACGGGTTGGGACCATCCATGCTCATCCGCCCACAAAGCGGGCGGCACTCGGCTAGTCTACCCTCTGTAGGCGAGTACGGTGTCCGTGTGTCTGAACGTCCGTGTGTTCAACGTCTCAGCGCATAAACCTAAGGGGTTGCCTTGGCTACACCACTCGTTTACATGCAATATCATCCATTGAAAACTTATGGGGACACTAAGCGTGCCGGTTGAAATTCCTTAACAAAAACACCTTTAATGATCGGGGAACAGGGAGACCTTTTTTGTTGTACACTCACTGCCAACGCACGACAGACACAAAAGCGTCTTCGGCCACCATGCACAAGATGCCATCGCATGGCTCATAAGGCCAAGGTCGGCCAGTGTCTCCCTGTCTCCGCGTGCCTTTTCTCTAAACAACCTACCGCTTGTTACTTTTCTCACTCTTATCCATGCATCACTTAGGCCACCAGGTTGTTACCACAGCTTCTGCAGAAACGCGCCTCCACAAGCTGCAAAGACCCGGGTTACGCTTGGGTTTACTCTTGAAAGCACTCTTCTCTTTCTTCGGCTGAGGTTCCGGCTCTTCAATGGGGCGCTCAATTAAGTAGGAGCCTGGTACGTAACCACGCTTGCTGCGCAGATCCACCAGCCATCGTCATCCTGTCGTCCAGAGTGATACACTGTTAGAGCATTTTTTAGCAGCAATAAACGAACCTTCTCGAGAATAGCGACTTCGTCGCCAGGATAAATAGTCAGTTGTGTGTCGTCCTGGGCGTCGTACCGATAGCCAGCAACACCATTGGACACTGGGGCCATGTTCTCTCTGTTGAGGACAACCCAAATCACCATGTTAGTCCGTCGAACAACCAACATCAAACCACAGCGATACATACGGAAAGCTCGGCTCGTCCTGCGCGATTGCTTCGTGTTTGCATTTCGCACAAACAGCCTGGCCTTCGTGCTCGAAGAAACTCTCTGCTGGACAACAAAACGCCACACACGCAGCATCTGTATTAGTATCATGCGGTTCATACAATGTGATTCGCACTGGTTTCGTCGCGTACCTGAAAGGGAGGCACTGCATACAAAGCAGTCTGGGTGGTAAAGATGGTCGAGGGCTTTGACCACTTTTTTTCTTCTAAAGCACTTTGTCGCATCGGTGGCACTTTTTGCCGAAACGAGCCTGATAGCATCATTGGTGGAACGCCTAAAGTCACAATAGTAAGTTAATATCGCATTCAATAGCTAATAACAGCTAAGCCAGCACTACCTGGTTGTCCTTCTCTACGTAGCCATCGTCTTCAGCAATAATACGACTACAGTGGCTGCATTTGAAGCACTGCTACACACAAGAACTCCTCCATCGTCCCCACCCACGCACCGCATAGTGAAAATACTGGCTCAGGGGTCCGACCGCTTCTCCCTCCAGAACTAGGCCACAACCACCGCACAGCTCGCGCTCGTTCTCGTTTTCCGAGAAGGTCTCTTCATTTTCTTTCACCGTCCTTTCAACCGCAGATTTTCGCTGTCTGTTGCGGTCACCTGCGCCTTCCGAGATGCCACTTAGGTTGGACAAGCGATCATCGTCGTAAGACTCGAGGTCGAGCACCTCCGACAAGCGCAGCGATTCCCTATGACCATTGCCCATGTATCCCGCGTAATCGCCGTCGGTAAGAAGAGAATCGATGACTGACACTTCAGAGATCCGTCCATTGTGACCGGACATGTCGATAGAAGTGGCCTCGAGGTCAAACTCGTCCCGATTCGATGTGGTGGATCGAAGACTGTCAGTTCCAGATCGCCCGTTACCGTTCGCAACTACCGCAGCGGCAGCTCTCTGAATAGTTTGGCCTCTGCTGCCTCTCGTTCTGCCTGTGCACGAGCAGCAGCGGCCGCTTCAGCTTCCGCCTTGGCCTTAGCGCGAGCGGCCTCCTCGGTTTACGACATATTGGACCACGCTGTTCTTAAACGCTTGCTCCTGCCTCAATGGATGGTCCAGTGTGGGACTGGCAACGATTACGCCGTTGATCGCTTTGTGTGCGACGTCCGAAAGCGCGTTGCAGTAGTCCGTGATCGTTTTGGTGCTATTGCTGGCAAAACGAACTCGGTCTTTATACGCTGAATCATTCTTCGTTTTAACGACGCGATCGACATATTTGCGGCACTGGTCCGACAGAATCGTGTTCGCGTTGGTGCAGTACGCCTGCGAACCTGTGTCACAGACCGTCCGTTGGTCGTTGTGTCGCATACGGACGCGCTTGGCGCGGAATACGGCATTGTGCACGTGCACTATATTACGAGCGGTAATTTTTCACTCCCGAATCTGGATGAAGCAAGTTTTTTAGTCGTATTTTTTCATTTTTTTATTGGCACGCAAACTGGCTTGATTGATTTGTATTGGTGCAAACCATGTGTTTTGATTTGGCGCCAAAAACAAAAACAAGTTCCAACTCTCGCTCCACTGACACCATGCCAACGCCGAAACGCTCGCGGCTGGAAGACAACACAGAGGATACGATGATGATACCCAGCGAGATCGACGCACTCGATCTATCGAGCGTCCGAGTATTGATCAAGGTTTTGCAGCAGACCTTGAAGAAGACCGAGGACATGGTCGATAAGGCGTGGGAGAGAGCCAATATGTAGAAGAAGGGGGCGTTGGCGAGAGCTGATGCGATCGTAAAAAGAGTGGAAGAGGAGAAGCAGCAAGAGCTGGAGAAGGCCGATACGGAAAAGAAGGAGGTGCTGGCGAGGGCTGTCGCGAGCAGGAAGGAGGTTGTGGGCGAGAGGAAGTCCTTCGCTCGATCGCTCCATGACGACACACGAATCCTCACGCGGAATCAAGACAAGATGCTGAACATCATCGGCACGGGCGCCCGCTATTTCGCTCAGTTGGAAAACCATGTGCCCACGCTGCAACAGACCACAGCCTTGCTCAAGGAGCACGCCGAAGAAATGGAAGAGACCGGATTCATGGTGGTAGAGGCCGTGGTGGTTGCGTTAAAACGCACTTCCTCAAGAGCAGGAAGAACAATCTCGACGCCTTACTATCAAGTTTTGGCCCCAACGTTATGCGGCAAGCCGAGCCATTCTGCGTAACCAAGGACCCGGACGCGGAGATTAACGCGGTCGTCGAGGTCGGTAAAGCCTTGACAAGTCATGAAAAGGCCAAGCGATCGGTCGAGATAAGACACCACCAGCCATCGTCCAAGCGGCAGAAGGTGTGTGCTATCTGAAAAAGAAACCAGTAATAATTTATATTTCTTGCCGTTATTTGTAGAGCAAACCGCGCTACCCAAATCTTACATTGACTGTGAAGTTGTTCGTGTGGACGGACCGGATGAACGGCATGATCTCTTTGGAGCAGTTCTACGATCTCCTCGCCATACTCAGCCGTCCACATGGTGAGGACAACACCCTTGGCTGCGTGGAAGACCTATCTTCAGACATTTGCGCTCGCTTGGAAGACGTGTCTTTGGATATCGTTGTGTGAGATGGTGTACTACAGTAAGGTGTGTGCGGACTAGAAGCGCCTTCGGACCCATGCTAGTACCAGTGTCCAAGATAAGGGCAGCGCCATTGATGAACCTATAATGTCCATACTACCAACGATCATCGCTCGCGTTGGTGAAGCCACATGGATTACCGGCTTTACAGTTCACCGCGTGCCTGTACGGGGCAGTACGATGGCAAGTACTAGGCGAATGTATGCTAAAGGACATTGCTGGCTGGGAGCAGCCGTGATGGTGCTGCTGCACTATTGAAGGCGATCTATGGGGTAACTTAGTTTTAGTATAGATTCATGGTTTGTGCGAGTATACCTTGCGGTACGGCGGAGTCTGGGGCTTGGCGTGCTCTCTCTCAATCGGCTTTTACAGCTCCGCGAGCACTGCAAGAGAGAGAGAGAGAGAGAGCCACCCGCACCAGCCTTCTGCAGTTCTGTCGCGGCATTTGGCCCGGCACTTACGTGTTTTTACGATCTTCCTGCAAAGTCACTCTACACTACTGCCCTTCTGCACTACTGCACCTACTGGCACCTACGCTACGATGTGGCGGACAGTCAACGAGTGACTCGGTGACGCGGCGTGTGTCACCTCACGTTGGCAGAAAGACCGACTTTAAGGGCGCTACCAGCGTGGCAAACATAGGTGCGTTCATTCCCCGTCGGTCGAGTGATGTTTTTGTGTTTATGTTCTCAATCCACATAAAAGCAAAAAAAAAATTGCCTTTTAAAGTTGAATTAGGGGTTGTCAATACTGTCAGCAACAACAATATTTTTTCTTCTGCGCGATTTTCTTGACCCAAACAATGGCAGATTTCTAGCGAAGCAGTCGCAGTGGCCGCGGCTCGTTGATACACTTTCTTTTGCACTATCCTGTCCAAATCGGCTTTAGTGACGGTCGATTCAGCCATCGCTGTTTCGTATTCATTGTCGGCCTTCGGTCGTTTCTTGAGGTGCAGCACTAGTGTGATCATAAAAACAAGAATGATAGTAATGCCGGCCATGAACGGCCAAGCTTATGACCTAAGTATTTGCAGAAGCGCCATGATCACTTTTTTTCGTACGGATCTCACCAAGATTGTCACCTCTTTCAAACATTATATCCTAGCCTTTAAAAAAATCAAATTTTGTCGAGAAACAAATAGTAATGCTGGAATTGCTTGACGAGTGTATTTCATTGAATGATCTACGCTTCGTTGGCGCATGTTTTCCCGCAGCGATCACGTCGAGGTTCACAGTCATAGCATAACAGCCATTGACAACAGCGTCCAGCTGTCGATTTCACGGACTCAACCTCTCGACTAGCGTAAAGCTCAAGAAGACGTCCATTGCAAATCAAGGGCCCGCGTAACCTTTTGCTATTGGTTGGAATCACATGGCTACATGTGACACTGCTTCATCACGCCTTTTCCACTGATGTACGCTTAAAAATCCCCTCCTCATTCAAGAATCTGCCAGTCCGAGGAAAGTTGGTGAAGCTCTTCTGTGGTGGGAAGCGCGTTCCCTCTGGATACTGACAAGATTGAGACGGTTGGAGATTTGCAGAAGGCGATCAAGATAGAAAAGTCGAACGCCTTGAAGAATGTAGACGCAAGCGACCTGCAGCTCTTCCCTGCGAAGACGACGGACGGTGCGTGGCTGGCGTCGAATGACCCTAATGTGATTAGTATGCGATGTGGAGGCAAGCGAAGAAACTACTGAAGGATGAAATCGACCCAACACAAGAGATTAGTGACTTTTTTTAAGTGCTCCAACGAAGAAGACGATCCACGTGCTGGTGGTGGTTCCAAATCAAGGCCTGACACCTACGTGAACGTAGGCCGTCGAACCGTGCCCTGTTCTGCATTTTCTGGAGGCTAATCATTCCACCATTCGCATTCCGGAAGAATATGCTCGAGGCAGTGGCCTTCTGGTTGGTGAAGGTGGTCTGTGTTTGTATCTTCGTCCGGAGCTCAAAGAGGATATGCGGCACTCAATGTCCTTCCGGTACTCCCAGGAGTTGGCACTCTCTGGGAGATCAACCCATGAGCAGAGAAACTGCAGCCGGTCGCCCTGGCCCCGCGGGGGCAGCAAGTCCTTGATGACGTACACACGCTGGTCGTCCTCATCGTAAAGGAGTGGTGCGGACTTGGTGATCTGACGAGCGCAAAAGATCTCCGGCACATCCAGCGACCCCTTGAGCTGGTCCACATTGAACGTGGCGTGCCGGCCGCGAGCAACATAGCGATGAGGGAGAACGAGCCGATACGCATTATCACCGATACGCTCTTCGATCGGAAAGGGAGGGGAGCATCTTGTTGCGAATAGGATCGCGATTGAGATCATAATCCGGTTGACCAAGCTCGCTGCTGAGCACTCGCGAGTTCACGTAGACCAAATAACCGCGCTCAAACCGCACGTCCTGGCGACCTCTGTTGTAGTACTTGGCTTGACGTTGCTGCGCCGCCCGGAGATTCTTCTGAACGAACTCAATGACCTCGCGTCTGGAACGGGTGCTGTTCAATGCCGGGCCTGGACCAAGATGGCTCTGTAGCGTGATAGGTGACCGCGGTTTCCGACCACTGTCGACATCAAACGGCGAAACCCTCGATGACGTGGATACTAACGTCGCGTGGGCGTACTCCACCGTGAGGAGGAGCCGGGCCCAGTCGTCGCCGTAGTGCGAGACCACACATCGGAGGCTGTCTTCGAGAGTCCTAACATGCCGTTCGCTCCGACCGTCAGCCTGTGCCCGACGAGACGCCGTCATGCGATGCTTGACTTGCATGATGCGCATCAATTCTCACTCGTGAATTTCGAGTCGCGGTCTGCGACTACGGATTCAGGCAGGGAGTAGTATCGAACGACAAGGTCGAAGAACAGTCTCGCGGTTTGCTTCACGTCGACATCCTTGGTAGTTTGATGTAGCATGGCCGGTTCGAATGGCGACACACCATGACGTAGATAGCGTCGTACCCGTCGCTCTCCGGCAGTGCGGTGAGGAAGTCCATCGTGACATGCTGCCAACCTTTTCCCGGAATCGGTAGAGGTTGGAGCAGGCCATTGCGATGCCGCGAGCCGGACTTGTGACGAATACAGGCCTCGCACGTCGTCACGTACTGCCGGATGTGCTCCCGCATCCCGGGCCACCAGAAATACTGGCGCATCGCTACCAGAGTGCGCTCAACTCCTGGATGCGCGACCACTGCCGCATCGTGAAAGTCATGCATGAGACGCAGAAGGATCTCGTCCACTTGTGGCGCTCGAAGCACTTGAATGGAGTCGGCACTTTTGACATACAGCAGACCGTTACGCAGCACATACTTGGTGTTCGTTGCGATGTAGCCCAGTTGGAGCGACTGCATTATCACCACACAGTCTTTGTCGTTCGAGTACGCCGCCTTGACTTCACGCAAAACTCCACATCCTCCCCCACCAAAAGAAGCGCCAACTGGACTCGCAAGGGAGACGGCAATGTCAGTGGCGCGACGGGTGACGGACCAAACGGAGCGTTGCCTTCGACGAGCAGCTTGGCCGAATGCGAGAGAAAGCGCGTGTGAAAAACAAAGATGCCAACACTCGTGACGACTAGGGGGGGG